TGAGGATGGGAAATGACAGATGTGTGGCTGTCCTTGAGGGGTTGCTATCTGTGTGGAGGAATGGAAAGATGCTCCAAGTCTACACATTCACCCCACCCTTCCTCACCCTATCTTCTGAAATGGTTGAGTTGGTTTGAAAATCAGCTTGGACCAGGAAATATAATAAAGAATAATGAACTTAGTGACCTTCTATAGAGTCACCTGAGAAAACCTAAAGCTAATCACTCTCTGAAGGTGAAAGAGATGGAAAATTCAACTCTGAAAGTACTGGCCCTGAAACACTCAAAGGAATTCCCTGGGGGGGGGGGGGGGAGAAAGTGGTTTTGGAGTCCAGAGGAATAGTGATTTAGGAGACCATTAGTCGCCTTTTTCCAAATGCATTGATAATGGGGACTTGGGAGAGAGCAGCTCCCTCCTTGGACTGTCAGTTCATCAGTAAATTTATTTCCTATTGTCAAAAACAAGGCAAAAGAAAAACAAAAACAAGTCTGTTAGGTATGGGTTGACATCACTAAGAAGGTTGTTTCTTTCCTGTGAAAGCATGAAGTATCTGTGAAGTGCTATGGCCAGGCATGGAGGGGAATATCAAACACATACATTTGTTTGTGTAATCCCCACAATCACCATCACATAGTACAGTAGTCAGAAGTTTCTGTCCTGCCTGGTCCCACAGCTCTTTTGTCCCAAATATATACACAGAGGCTTACATTAATTATAAAATGTTTGGCCTATGACTAAGGATTCTTATTGGCCATCTCTCTCTTAACTATTAACTCTCTTAACTATTAATCTGTGTATCTCCACATGATCTTGGCTTACCTGTGATGATTGCTTCCTTCGCAGCTACATGGCATCTCCCTTGACTCTGCCTACTACCTTCCTTTATCCCTGTACGATTTCCCGCCTGGCTAAATCCTGCCTGTCCATTGGCTGAAACATCTTTATCCATCAACCAATAAGAGAACCATATATTCACAGCATACAGAAGGACATCCCCCATCATAGTATTGTCATTCTCCAGGTGACAAATGTCACGTGCCCAGAAGCAGACTTCTGTTCAGCTTGGATGGAGCCTAGGAACCATAACTGTGCTCCTAACTGCATACAGCCCTTGTTCAGGAAAAGATCATGCGCACTCTGCTCTCTTCCAGTTTCACAGCCCGGCCAGTCTCACCAGTCTCCTTTTAGATTCTTTCTTGTCCAAGTTTCACCCATTTCGATGGTGGCACCATTTTACACTGCTCATCGGGAAAAGGCCTTAATTAATACTGGGACTTGTCCTTACAAAGTGCACATGTGGCCTGGTTTTGTTTTTGTTGTTTGTTGATTTTTTGAGATAGGATTTCTCTGTGTTGCCCTGGCTGTCCTGAACTTACTCTGTAAACCAGGCTAGCCTCAAACTCAGAGATATGATTATAGGCATGCACCACCACAGCCTGACTTTTTTTCAGCCGATTAACAGAAATAGTTGCTAGCAATTATTGGAGCTGGTATAAGTCATTTAGGGGCAGCAGTGCAGATGCTACAAGCCTAGGAGAAGCCTAAGAAGTCTGAGGTTTAATTTACGTTACATTAGTGTGCACTCTCAAGTTTAGTTCACATTTGAATTAAGTAGAAGGTGTTAGAAGATGTGGGAAATGAAGGGTAAGATCTGGCCTAGCAATGGGCAGTGTCCTGCCAGAAGGGGTGTGTCTGGAAGGGGGTAGGGTGAGGGATAAGGTGGGAGGGGTAGGGGGGCAGGAGGTGGGGAATCTCCTTTCCCTTCTAGATACGCTGTTGTGCAAAATTAGCTGGTAGCAGTTGTTTGACTCCTCTTGACTTCAGATGTCTTCATCTTTAAAATGAGGTCAAGATGTTTGACTTGTAATTTTCCAAAGTCTAATTCAGCCTCAGATATATACATATCCTTCCACAATCCTTTGTATGATCCTTTTAGATGAGACTTTGTAATTTTAGATGTCATATTTCCTTTACTTTCCCAATACTACATCAGGTTTCAGTTGGTGAACTAAAAGATACAGCCTGTCTTTGCCCATTATTTTTTCTTCATTCATAGTGATGCAGGAGAAAGATAGCTCTCTGTACATTGTAATGGAAAGGGAACCATCACAGACAGTGCAAATTGCCCCGGAAAGTAATAGTGAGAAAAGAGGTTGGAATTAAAAGGAAGATTAGAGGTTAACATGGCAAAGATGAAGAAGATGAAGAAAGATCTAATAGTTGGGTAGGAGATAACCGGACTAGACAGAAAAGAAGAAGAGAAAAGACAGAGCACTGGGCCACTGACAGCAGTCTAGCAGGCCTCCTCTGAAACTCCTGAGGAATGACCACAAAGTAGTATTATCCTTTTGTAAATTCTTGCTCCTAATGTAGCTCATTGTGACAGACCAACAGTAAAGAAAGATAGCTTCAAACTAGAAGGTTCCTGCCAGGAGACCACTCTATTTAAGGAGCTAAAAATGAGGTAACCAAGAAAAACTACAACTATGCCTTAGTGGCTGGTATGAAGTTAGCTCTCTGCCATGGTAAAGCTACAAGTTGGTCATGTAAATAAGAGGACAAAGAAAGTCTAGTGTAATTGACAGCTATGAGACATTTGCAAAGTTTGAAGGTAGTAATGTTCAGCAAATAACTAACAGCTATCAGACAGTCAAGATCAAAGCTGGAGTTGCGGATAGACAGAAGGATGTGTCATCTGCCCTGACAGTAGGCAGTCCATCACCAGTATGTGCTCATTCCCTGGTTGGTCCATAGGTACAGCCATAGTGAGTCTAAGCCCACTATTGGCTAAGCTCTTGAAAACCCAAAAAATTAATTATTGGTCCATGGGTACAGGCATAATGAATCTAGGCCCACCATTGGCTTAGCCCTTGAAAACCCAGGAAATTAACCAAGTAGAAATTACTTCATCCTCTATCCAGTTTCTGTCATGGCCCTACAAATCTAAACAAGGAAAATTCAGTGGCATTTTCCTCTCTTAGAAACTCCTCTGCTGGAAGTTTCTCTAATTTTTCTTTCAGTTCTGACATAATTTTCTTAAATAAATAATTTAAATTAATTTTAGATAATGATTTAATTATTTAAGTTATAATTGTTAAACATTTGAATAAGTGACTACATAAATAATTTGCTCTAAAGTTCCAGCAATGTAAAAGCACAGTCATTCTCTGTCAATAAGTTTTTGTGATGTCTGTCTCTGTGTTATCCCAGAAGAGAAAGTGTACCTCAGATCTAGGGCAAGAAGCCCACTTCTGAGTTCTAGAGGGTGGTTAAGAGTATATACTAGAGTCCAATTCTGGTTCTGTTGTTCACTGACCCTATAAACATGAGTCACTTAATCATTTTGTGTCTGTGTCCTAGAGGAAACACAGAATAAATTCCAAGCTATAGCAGCTATCTATTTCTAATGAGTTAGTATTTGCAAAGAATTTAATATAATGTTTGGGCATATAGTAAATGCTCAGTTCTAGATATTTGTGTCTTCATTCACACCACTACCCTGTGAAACCCCACTCAATTACTCTCTTCACTTTGATTTCTTAATCTAAAATAAGTCTAATAAAGACTTACTACCTAGATTGGAGGGTTGTCAATCCAGTAATCTCTGGATCAGAAATCCTGGACGTCTGCCCAGTACTATGATGTAGAGGGAGGGACTAGCCACCCCTTCCAGCTTGTGTTTTTGCCCAAGTCTGCAGAGGTTCCCGAAAACTTACTCTGGAATCAGTCTTAAATTATATCTGAGCAAATGAAACATACTCAGAGAGAAAGAAAATGTCAAGTATGCAAAACTAGAGTCTCCTCCTTTAGTCCTGTGTTCTGTGTATGTAGTTTATAAAACTGGTGTGATGATACCTTCTTTCCACAATCTCAAAGAAGTCAGATTTTTATCAATGGGTATTTCCTCTAAAGTGCAAGTTTATTCAGAATGGCACCATCAGATCTTTCTCCTCCTCCTCCTCTTCTTCTCCCTTTTACCCTGCCCTGGTGTTTATTTAGTTTTGTTTAATTTTGTTATTTTGCTCTTCTGGAGATTAAGCCCAAAGCCTTGCACATGCCAGGCACACATTATACTGACTGAGTTACATTCCTAGTACCACACCTTTTCAATTTAGGTCAGTAATAATCCCAAAATATCAGAGTCAGGGTCATCCAAAGTGGATGCATTTAGCCACAGGAAGCAATTAGGGTTTGTTCTTTCTTATAAGGTTTGGTGGACTATACAGCCCCTTTGTGTTTTCCTTTTTTGCAATCATACATTGTTATTGCAATCAAAATTCCTCATTCCTTTGCGTTTGACAGGACACAGTCCCAAGTAGTCACTAGGCAATTATGAGTCTCTTACCCTATATCCTAAGATTTCTAGGTCTGACACATATAATCGGAATGGTGTTTTATCCAGCATTCTTTGGTTTTGCTTTTTTTTTTTTTTTTTTTTTTTTTTTTTTTGCACAAAATGGGCAGTGGGGACCAAACTGATAGATATTTTAGACCTTTAGAGAAATATAGATCCTTGGGAATCTTTGATGAATGACTTTAACCAAGAAGGCACATTGTGTGCCAAAATCGTGCCATGCCAGGTCCATTTATTTGGTTGCAACACCAAAGCAGAAAGGAGTCCCTTCTGCCACCAGGATTTGTAACTCACTGAGGGAGTCACTGCTCCTGCACAGAAAGAGCCCTGAGTTGGCCTACGACTCAGACAGTAATCATTGGTACACAGCTTGGGCTGTTTATTCTGCTGCCCTACAGAAGGTGGACTCTGGGCGTGGTGGGTGGGTGTGCTTGCTAAGTACCTGTTTGCAGAACACCCAGGCAGGGCTGAGCAAAAACAGCAGTAATCTGAAACCAGTCTAGTTGGTTTTCCTTCCCAGCAGTCAGAGAAAATCTGCATTCCAGATGAAACCTGCCGGCTAGCTGAAGGAAAGCATTTAAAAACAAAAGGCATTCCAAGGGTAGTAAATTAACTGCTCCGAGAGTTCTGGGCACTTTGAGAGGATCCTTTTCTTTACTTCCTGTCTTTGATTAGGGGTTTGCAGGAGGCTGTTGAAGTGGGCGAAATGCTGGGTTTGGGGCCTGGCTGGCCCAGGCCTCTGATTAAGATCTGGATGGGAAAAAAAAGGCTCACTTCACAAAGTCCTTGGGTCGTTTTCTGCTGATTCATTTTGGAATCTCTTGGGCTGCACCAGGGGGTGGTTTAAGACTGTCAGGATCAGCTTGCCGGTTCAGCACTTTTAGGAACCTCAACTTGCTCACCAATGAGGAAGTTGAATGCTACCAGGAGAATCGTAGGCACGGGGCGGGGCTCCTCCTGAAGTCCAGGGCTGGGATTACGGGACAGGCTGACTTTGGCTGCGACAAAAAGCCTTTTGTCCTGGGAGTAAATACGGAAGTCCAGAAGAGCAGCCTGCCTGCCCATGTGTAGTAAGGTGTGCGGCCTCAGCTGCTGTGGGGCATAGAGTTGCCCAGACTTAACAAGTTGCCCTGGGCACGCCGGCATCGAACAAACCGGAAGGGAGGGCTCTGTGACCTGAAAAGAGACCAAGTGTGTTTTCTGAGCTGCTGAAAGCCTGGCTCTCTCCCTGGTCCCGTAGCTGCTCCCTGTCCTGTAAGTCAAGAGCAGATGGAGCGGATAAACTGAGCCGAGCAGGGCAGGTAACACAAGGCAGAACTTCTGTCAAGGGCACTGCCGGGACATGGAGGAGGTTGGTAACACTCTGAATAGCAGAGATGTGCTGGAGTCAGACAAATCCGAAGCCGGACTTGAGATGGCTCAGTCCATCCTGAGTAAATTCTCTATGAAATCCCTGTTTGGATTTACAAGTAAATTGGACTCCTTGGATCCTCAAGAGGAAGATGCTGTGCTGAAGGCATTTCGCAGTTTAGAGGTGAATTCTGCTCCCGAGAGAGATGATCCCAGCGAAGGCTCAGATCAGCCACAGGCAGAGGCTCCAGCTCCAGTTCCCCCTGATATTGAAAATGATGGGAAGTCAGCAAAGGTGGAGACAGGATCGGAGGGAAGTCAGGGGAAAGCCACACCGGACACCTCTTCCCTTGGTCATGAGCTGCTTTCACCTGCCACCGTGAGTGCGGATAGTGAGGATGTCATCTGGGTCCATGGGACCCTGGTTCACACTACCAGTGATTCTGATTCTGAAGACGGAGGCCAAGAGGCAGAAGGAAGTGGCCTTGATACCCGGGTGTCCACCACTGTTGTTTTATCTGACCCATGTCAAGAGCCCAAAGGAAGACCGAGAGTTTCGGGAGAAAATAATGACACCCGGGAAACTGATGGTGCAGAACTCTGTGGTGATTCTCAGAGAACTTTATCTGAGACAAGTGGCAAACTGGACCCTGAACAAGATAGTAGCCACCCAGCAGAGCACAGCCACGGGCAGGGCCAGGCTGAAGAAGAAAGGTCCCAAATCCCACCTGCAGCAACAGACCAGACTGTTGGTGCCACTGAGAGCACTGTTTTTAAAAGAGAGAAAGAAGCTTCTGGAGAGAAGTCGTTCCAGCTTCCAGCTTTCTTCAGTGGGCTCCGTGTGCTGAAGAAGGGAGCTACAGCAGAGGCAGGGGAGACCATTACTGAAATCAAACCCAAGGACGGGGACTTGGCTTTGCTCAAGTTGACCCAGCCTGTTCATAAGTCTCTGGTGCAGGGAGGCCCGCAGACACTGAAGAGCCAGGGTAGAGCTACTGATCCGAAGGCCACTCCCACTCTCCTGGAGCAACTATCTCAGCTACTCAATATTGACATGCCAAGAACCGAACTGAAGGAAGCCGACCCCGAGTTCCGTGGAGCCTGCGAGATGGGCTATAGTACTGACCAGGAGAGCCAGAAGAGTTCTGGCGATGCCCAAGTCCAGGGTGGCCAGGTGAAGTCAAAGCCACCAGAAACCGCCCTGGAAGCCTTTAAGGCCTTATTCATCCGTCCCCCTAAAAAAGGGACCACCGCTGACACCTCTGAGCTGGAAGCCCTCAAGCGAAAGATGAGGCATGAGAAGGAGTCACTGCGCGCTGTGTTCGAAAGGTCCAAGTCAAGGCCAGCAGACAGCCCCTCTGATCCCAAAAGCGTATGTAGAATTGGGTTCTACATTTTGACATAAAATATAATGCCGTAATTTTCTTTCTTTCCAGGTTTCCTGTTTAAAAAAATCCTAGTGGCCTGTCATTGTTAATATTTTACTTTCTTTGGTTAAAAAAATAGTAATAATGATATAAATTGGTCTTGCAAAAGAGTACATACAGAGTTGGACAGAAGTACATCTCTTTCATCTGTTTTTCTTAAATGTAATTGTTATGTGTGTGAGGATGTGTGGGAAGGAAGGGAAAATGTGCACCCTAAGTTTAAACAACAGTGGTCATTGTGCTTATAAAACATTAGCAGCATGGGGAAGTGATACGGCATGTGAGTGCAAGCATAGCCCAGATTTATAGGGATTTCCTCACCATTCAATTATACTGCCGTGAACACACGGCCCTCCTCTGAAAGTGTGTCATTTAGCAAAATGTGTGTTTCTGATATAACTGAAATGTTCAGTGTTGTTTGTGTTTCCTGGCTGAGTATTGAATTTAGAATAAGAACTTGCTGTTAATCCCAACTCTGCCATTTATGGCAAGGTGACCATGATAATCTCTGAGCCTGTCTCCCCATATGTGAAAAGAGAAACCTAGCCCTAATCCTTATGGAGAGAAGACATGAAATCAGAACACAAGAGAGTCTAGCTAATAAAAGATGTAATTGCTCAAAGAAAGTTAATTTATAATGACCAGGGAGTGTTTGGCATTCAGAGTTCATGGGAACAATGGATAGAATTTCTTGCTAAACATCAAGTCAGTATAGGATCATCATATCTGCTTGTATGTTTAATTAAGCTATGAAAAAGTAAAGTCTCTAGAAAAATTATCATAAGTTGTAGTTAAGTCTATACACACCATAGCATTATAGTTGAAAATTCAACTGCTATAAAAGCAAACAAACAAACAAACAAAACACAAAAAAACAAAACAAAACTTGAACATGGTGTTGATGTCCTTTATTTTGTAATAGAAAGAATTAAAACCAGTGTGGAATGCTTAGAGAAGTATGTCTTCAATTATTGCTGATATTCAAAGAAAATGCAAGCTTAGTCTTTATTGTAAGTAGTTCAGAGTTGTTTGGGATCCATTTGTAAATATTACTATAAATGTGCCAGATGCTAATGCACTTTATTTTTGTTTCTGTAGTTTAAAAATTACTTGCACCCTTTCAAAAGCTGAATAACAAACATAATATGTAAAGGGTTGCATGTTAGGTAGCCTTGAGGGGTTTTGGGTTTTTTTTTATTCTGTTTTGATTTCTTTAGTTTTCATTCCAACTGGTCGTTTACCCTTCTGGAAAGAGGTTCCCACTGTACTAAGATGGCTCAATTACAAGTACTGTGAACAACCTGCCACTGGCCATTAAATCGATATTAGGATTAGTGTTAGGACATGTGTTTTCAAGAATCAAAGGGCTCTGGCCACATTTCACTTAAATTATTCTTTACCTGTTTTGCACAGCCTGACCAGAGCCCCACAGAGCAGGACGACAGGACTCCTGGCAGACTCCAAGCTGTCTGGCCACCCCCAAAGACAAAAGACACAGAAGAAAAAGTGGGGCTGAAGTACACTGAAGCAGGTAATGTGAAAGGACGCTGGCACCCAGGAAGGAACCTCTTCCTGCAATGGCTTTTAGTGCAAGTCCAGAGAACTCTTAGTGCAAGTCCAGAGGGTGGTGGTGTTTGGTTTCAATATACATTATAATGCAGAAGGCTTCTTCTGTTTTTGCTCCTGGTATTAAAGCACAGCACTTTGCACATTTACTGCAAGTGAACCTCTCAGGAATGAAAGGTGACTGCAGTGCAATGAATGAGAGGGGGCACACGTGTCAAGTAGAGAGCCTTTGGGAGGCGAAATGGAGCAGGTAGATTACAAATTCCTCTGGAAGCAAGTGGTTGATGCACATATAATGTTTGTGTGAGCTGGCAGCATTGGTAGAAGAGGCAAGTATGCTTCTCCAGGACTGTAATCTGATGTTCTGTTTGTCTCTGAGTAATGCGTCCTAGATAAAGGAACCTTGTGCAGACTGAACATACAGATGCCATATCAGTTACTCGCTCACTTTTGTGAGACAAAGCTTCATTTAATGCATGTCCAATTTTAAAGCAATCTAACTCTCTGGAAAACTTGCCAGGAACTCAACTTGAATCTATTTAAATGGATTAGGACTCTGGATATTTTACTCTTTAAGTGAAAGGTTCACATGAAAATTAAAAAAAAAAATCATGGAAGACTAGACATGAATATATTTTAATTGTGTGTGCGATGGGGAAGGAGGTTGGTTTTTATTGAAACCTCTTAACGTTCTTTCTGCTATTTGGAGACTTATCTCTCATACCTAGGGACTGTCACTCCAAAACATGGTGACATTGCTTTTATTTTATTTAAATTAGAGGATTACCTAGAAATTGGCAGGTGCTAGAAGAGGCTTTCTGAGGAAGCAACCATCTCTGTTCTTTGCTGAGTTGTCACTAAACTAGAGTCATGTGGTAGAAAGAGAAAGGAAAGCTGAAGGCTGTGAAGCACCTGGGCAGGCTGTTGCAAAAATACGCCACTGTTTTCTATTCCAGCCCTGATCAATAATCAAGGGGAATGTTCTGTGGAAAAGAATCATTTACAATCTTTTGTCTGTTATGTGAGCCCAAGGACTTTGCATTTTCCATTTTCCACCTTCCTTGTGGGACAGGGGACTTGTCATTGCTAAATCACATGACTTCCTCCATGTGCCTCTCATTTGTGTCTGTTCCCGTTTTACCCACATGTTAGCAGTTCATTGCAGTGAATCTTCAGAAGGTGAAGGAAAGCCCTTCCTTTTTTCTCTTTTATATGTGGCTTTTTTTCCTTGGCTGTTGGTAAGCATGCATATTAAGTTAGGTCTACATAATTATAAAAAAATATTTTTGTAAGTGACTCGAAGTTTAGTTGGTTCAGTAGGCTTTATTCTTTTTTTGTGATGTGAAGTATTAGTAGTTGAGAATACACACATTGGCAAGGGAGTCTGGACTTGGTCTATAACCTCCACATACCCAGTCACAAACTTATGGTTCTTTTGGGACAGTAACTACTTCATAGCATGTTATTTTTCTGCACTGCTTTTCCTATGGGATGAAAAATACTTTATCCTTAGCAAAAATACGTACAGTCATTTCAGTTTTCCAGCACATGCCCCCCTTGTAGTGCTATCTATGATCATGGTATTGACCTACCCACCAAGTTATTTGCCTATCATGGTCCAGAGTGAGTGATTGAATGATCTGAAATTTGCCTTAACTAACAAAACAAAGAATACGATGAGTCCAAATCCCTAAGTTGGAGATTTTAGTCTTGATCTAATTAGGGTATCATGGCAACCTTCCTTGCCATGATGAGCATTTGCTGCGCAGGGAAGGAAGTAAATGTCATAAGTGCTTCTTGAGTCCAGTCTAGTCTGCTTTTGAATTGCTCCTTAGTCTTTGCTTTATTGTGTTCTTTTGTCTTCCACTTCTGGAGGTTCCTTGGAGCATGCATCCCAGTTAACCTTGGCCATTTTTCCTGGTCTTTCTGACTAGTGTTGTCAGAGCCATTAAGACACTCAGTGGCCTGGCCAGAAGAAAGAAGTAATGATGATAGTTCTTTAGGTAGAGGAACACTACAGCAGGCTGGCTGTGCACTCCAGGAAGCCCCTTCTGTGATAGCACTTTGGCATGACTCTTTTTCCTTGTCTGGTACTTGGCTGCCTGGGAACCTTCTAGTACTGATGTATTTTAGGAGATGTGGTTTCTAGGGAAGAACAAGATAACTCACACATTTTGTACCTCATTGGTAATTTTGAGAAGTTCATACACACACACACACACACACACACACACACACACACACACACGTTTATCTTAAGCTCTGTTGTTGAGTAAACTGAAATCTTGGCAGAATTTGGTGTGTATTGAACATATTTTGTAAAGTCCCCATTGGCCTCCCTACCCCTGGGGGAAACAGTCTCTAGGGAGCTTGAGATAGAGGTCTTTGTTTCTTTGTTTCTGTTTTTCTTTTCTTTCTTTCTTTCTTTCTTTCTTTCTTTCTTTTTTTTTTTTTTTTTTTTTTTTTTTTTTTTTTTTTTGAGACAGGGGTTTCTCTGTGGAGGTTTTCCTGGAACTAGCTCTGTAGACCAGGCTGGCCTTGAACTCACAGAGATCTGCCTGCCTCTGCCTCCCAAGTGCTGGGATTAAAGGTGTGCACCACCACCGCCCAGCAAGTGTACTTTTTTCTTGCCAGAATTTATTACTCACTAATGTAAAGAAACAAGAGAGTAAGCCATCAGTATTTCTCTCTCACATGTACTGTTGGAATCCTGTACTGTTGAGACAGGTGGTCAGTCCATGTAAAGCCTAGCTTTTCCATCACGGGTTCCCTGTACTCCATCCTGGGGTGTACTCAGGAAACATTGATGTTTCCTAATCAGTATTCTTTTGGGAGGCTTAAGAAATTGCTTAATCTTATAAATTAATTTTTGTTCAGGATAAAAAAGGAAAGGAGCTACTATAGAAGAACCTGTTGTCTTAAGTGGTGGTTTCTATAGTTTTCTTGGTTTATAATGGTACTTCGTAGTGGTTGCTCGTGCCTACTACCCTTCTGCCATTGCTTAGCTGTCAGCATCTTCTGTAGCTCCGGACACTGCAGTCACTTCTGTTGGCAGTGAACCTTTTGGATTCTAGGGGAGCATGTACTGGCCTCAGGTTGTCCTGTTCCCATATTACAAGAATTGTTACTTCCAGCCTCTGACCCCTTGGAGCCTTTGAGATGTGCCAGTTGAGAGCTGTCACTTAGTTGGCTTCCACAGGGACTGGAGTTGACCTCTACAGAGGGGTTGAGTTGGGAACTCAGTGTTAGTTCATACTGTGCCCGAAGTGTTATGTTCCTCCCAACCCTCCCCCACCATGGCTTGTGCTGTGTTTTCCTATGTTGCTATTGTCAGTGTGGTCCTGTCTTGTGTTCTGAATGTCTCGCAGTCACTGTGAGTGAACAGAGCTTTTTACCCCCACTTTTCTTGGCTTGGGCTAGGATGGTCTGTGCAACAAACTCCTTATTCCTCTTGGAATTGCCATTCTTTCTCCCAATGCTACCCTTTGCAATTGATACAAGCTGTGGATAGTCTTACATTGTTTTTAAGTGGGTTGCTTTGTCTTCTTTCCCACTGACCAAATTCAAAGAAAAGCCAGGTTATCTGGAGCCGCTTAACAGACAGGTCGTAAAGAAAGGTGACAGCCAGTCTCAAGAGGCAAGTTAATCATGCTCTGCACGCATACACTGCCTGCTGTTCCTTAAGTGATTTTTTTTTTCCTGCTCCCTTTCTCCCCATCTATTTTATAGCAGAATTTAATTTGGAGCACAATCTGAGATAGAGATCTAAGATCACGTTTTTTCAGGAATTGTGAATTGACTTCTCAGCAGGGTTTTAGAATAACTGTTCTCTCTCTGAACTAAGTTCATGGTTGCTTTGGACTTCTCTTGGCTGTGTTTACCTCTCTCGTTGGCATCTTCTCTGTGTTACCACAACACACCTCTCAAGACACATCTCCAGTTCTCCTGCTTATTTCAAAAATAATTTTGTTTTTCTGATATATCTATTCTTCCGAAGCTTCTCAGAGGGGTCCTTTTGGGGAATTTTTTCTTGGGATTGCATTGCCTTTTAAGTTAATGTGTGATGGGAATGAAAATGCTTAGGGTTTTCAAGTTTTATAAGAGTCTAATAACTTAAGCTTCGTGCCTTTTGTGGGCTTTCTTCCCAAGTCCAGAGTTTGTCCCAGTTTGGGTCAATGACTCAATGAATACAGAGGTGCCTTCTCTGAGTCTTTGGTTAGTGATTCTAAATGTTTGAAGACTCCTTTAAAACACAGTGATGGGGCTTGAGAGATGGCTCATCTGGTAAAGCTTTAAACTGCTCTTTCAGAGGACCAGGACTTGAATCTTGGTTCACACAAGATACCGAACAATATGTAACTTCAATTCTAGAGGATCTAACACCCGCTTTTGGCCTCTGAGGGCACCACAGGCACACATTTCACAGACATACATAAAGACAAAGCATTCATACACATGATATAAAAATAAATAATTCAAAAAATTAATTTAAAAAAATGTAGTGATAAGCCAAAAGCTACTGAAAACCATGTTGCAGTCAGCATTGTATGGTGTGTCTGATGCCCAGCTCTGGGTGTATGCCCCCAGATTCAGATGAGGAACCTCTGTTCTTGACACTTACTCCCTTCTACTCTGTTCTGTGATTGCTAACATTTCTGAATATTTTATTATGGTGTTCCTAAAAATTCCAAGAGAAAATAAGGTTAAAGCTTGTGCAATTTAAAACGTGTTAGTAACTTTCCAAAAGTTAGTAAAGTACTTGTAACACAAACACTTACTGAATTGTCAGTCTCTTAATACTCATGGGAGAGGGACAAAGGCACTCACATCTTCTGATACGAAATGTGGACATTTGGGTGTTCTTCCTCTGTGTATCTAGAAAATCTTGTTCTCTACTGGTAATACTTCCGAGCTAGGCTTGGGAATGCCATAAATACTGTCCTCTGGGTATAAGCATGGTCATGG